ACTCCAGCCGCCTGCAGACACACTCCCCTGCAGACACACGCTCACACTCAGCCATAACAGCCAGTGATGCGGCACTCGCGGGGTGCTGACACCCCGCCCCCCATGCTCCCCCCACACCCACACCCTGGGCGCACACCCTGGGGCGCGGCCTGCCCCCCCCCCCACTCCTCCCCTCCTGGAGCTCCATCCAGCCGCCCGTCTGCGCCTGGCTTTGCCGTCTGCCCGGAGCGGGCATGTCCTGGGCGCCTGGGCTCTTTGCTCTCCTGTCCCCTGACGCTGGCCCGGCCCGGCCCGGAGCTCCACTGCCCCGGGCGGGAGCAAAGCTCTGGGCTTCCGGGTCCGCACCCCCAGCAGGGGCTCACGCCGGCAGAGTGGTCTCCGCCTGCTGGAACTCGCTGGAAGCCCGCTCAGACCCCTGCGCTTTCCTCCGGGACACCCAGCCTTGCTGCGAGGGAGTCTGGCCACACAGGGGTGGGGGCTGAGGTGGGGGCGCTGTTTGCACACGCCCCACGCCCCACGCGCCGGCCTCTCCGGCCTCTCCGCCTCGGCTCCCTCTCAAGCAGGGCCGCGGCACTTTCGGACGCCAGAGAAGCCCAGGCAGTCGCTGGCTCACAGCAGACTCGCAGCTGGAGATGGGCAAGCGGACGCCACCCCGCGGCCGCCCCGGCGCCAAGCCCGGCTCCTGCTGTCCGCCCCTAATGGCGGCCACCCCGGCCCTGTGACCGCTGGGTACCTGCTCACCCGCCCTCACCAGCCTTCCGGGCTCCCAGCTCCCCCCGGGCCGTACCCCCTGCGCCCACGGGCCGCTCAGCTGTGGACCTGCTTGGCTCCTCCAGGAAAGCGGCCGCCCTGGACCGCGCGGCCAGGGAAACGCACCGTCCCTCACAGCTCCTCCGGCCCGGGCCTCCTGCAGGGGACGGATTTTCGGGGCCTCCCCAGGAGCCAGCGTGCGGGGTAGGGGGCCACGCTTCCTCGGAGCTCCCGGGACAGCGGAGCCACGGCCCCTGAGCTGGGCGTGTGGGGGGACAGGCCTGCCTGCCATTTCAGCGCTCATGCGCAGAGGCCGCGGCTGTGGCTGGACACGAGTGTCCACCCCCGCCCCGTGTCTCAGGCCCGGCTGGGGGCTCCCTGCGGGGCGCCGGGCAGGATGGGACTCGCTGGCTTAGCCCGGGCTCCCCATGGGCTGCGGCCAAGTCCTTGGGGAGGGGGTTCCGGGGCGCACGCCACGGGGCCCCGCAGCTCTGGCCGTGATGCGAACGCTCAGGACTCTGCCCGTGCACGGTCCAGGCCGAGTCCCGACTCCCGGCTCCTCCTGGGCAGAGGCCCAGGGCCGGCTAGCAGCACGTGGGCTTGTTCGGCCTCTTGGCGCCGCCCACTGCGAGCGTCCTGGGCCGGGCCCTGTGGACGCGTGTGCCGCTGCTGCCCCCCAGAGGCCTTTGCAGACCGAGGAGGCTTGTAGGCAAAGTGAGAGAAAACCAAGGAGCGGGCGGCTCCTAGGCGGCGGCCTGGTCCGGGAGGGGCCAGTGGGCTTCAGCAGGGTGTGCCCAGGCCCGCACCTGGCCTCGGGAAGGCCCGCGAGGGTCACGTTTCAGAGGCGCAGGCCCGGCCCGAGGAAGAGGATTGCAGACACCGTGAAACACAAGACAGGAGAGCAGCCGCCTGCTCGCCGTCCCTGCGACTCTACGTGCAACCAGCAGGCCAGGACACAGCCCCTGGGCCCCTGCCAGGCGAGTGGCGAGAGGACGTGGCAGGGACACTCCACGGACTGCGACCCAGTCACGCAGACGCCGTTCTGCTAGCTGAGGCCCCACAGATGAGGCTGGAGTGGCCACACGCAGCCACGTGACTCAGCAAGAACCTCCCTGGTGGCCAGCGGGTCGGGGCGCCGCTCCCCTCAGCGGTGCACTTCTTCAGTCGGCATTTGCTGCCCCACGCTCTGTCTCTGGGGAGTCCTCTCACCCCCTGCACCTCTGGCCTGCACCCCAGTTCTGTGTGCATAGATAAGTAAATCTTAAAGCAGGGTGGCCCGGCTGGCCGCCCGCCGTCCCCACAGCGCCCCAGCCCTGTCTCTCCTTTGCTGGGTGAGCTCCTTCCCACCAGCGTCAGCTCAGGTCCGCCCCGGCCCTGCCCCTGCTCCCCGCCCAGCACCCCCACACGAGGGCCAGGGAGGCGCTCCGCTGGCCCAGGGCCTGCCCGAGGCAGCCAGATGGCGGCAAGGCCAGGCTGAACCCCAGGCCTGACATGGGCTGAGCGGTGTCCGCCGGGGACCACCCTGCCAAACCCCGGTGGGCCCCCGGAGCTGGGGCGGTGCCTGCCCTGCGCTCCAGCAGAAGGGGCGAGAGCAGCCTGTGACCTGGCGTCAGAACGGTCAAGGCTGCCTGCGGCCCCACAGAGCTGCAGGGGGCGTGGCCTTACACTGGTCATCCTCGAAGTTCCAGTCCTGGGGCCGTTTTCCCTGACAAGGGAAGGAGGTTTCGGACAACTTTTAGCTGTTGCAGCGATGACCCGGCTGTCAGAGATCCAAGAGGTGGAGGCAGACCCAGACCCCGGCTCAAGCTCGTGCCCCCAACCCCCACCGGCATCTCCTGGGGGCGGGACAGCGCTGAAGCCGGACCCTAGGGGCTCACGCCAGGGGTCACCCCAAGGCCGGACCCCAGGGGCTCATTCCAGGGGTCACCCTGAAGTTGGACCCAGGGGTCATGCCAGGGGTCACCGGAGGTCAGACCCAGGGGCTCCCCCGGAAGCCGAAGCTCCGAATCCCTGAGTCCCCCGCCGGACCCACTCCCGAGTCCAGCTCCTCCCCAGCAGCGGGCTGTGCTTGCACCCCCAGGCCACAGAGGCGCCTCCTGACCACCAGCGACCAGCCCCCAGCCTCCACCGTGGCCGGCCACGGAGTCTCACCTGGAACGCCGCCGTGGCCTCTCTCCTGTGTCCTGCCGCGGGGGGGCAGCCGATTCTGGGGGGCGGAGGCCGGAGCCACCCTGCGCGGCGGCGGTCCAGGGACTCAGGTGGGGACCGCTCGCGCTCCCATGCGCAGCAGAGTGGGGGCAGAAGGGGTGACAGGCAGACACCGCTGTCCTCAGGCGGCCCAGGGCTGCTCGGCCCGGCCTGGACCCCGCGAGCGCCGCGCCCTTGCGGGTCAGGCCGCGGCTGGCGTTGGCTGCGGCCCGTGGACTGGGCCCCTGGGGTGCCCCGCGCCCGGGCTGGCCCGGTGAGGTCTGAGCGCGGCCCCCCGAAGCGCCCTCCTGGGGGGAGGGCCCCCGCGACCGCCTGCCCTGGGGTGCCCCGCGCCCCGGGAGCCGCCTCTCGGTCTGCTGCCTTCGGACGCCTCCGGCCGGCCAGGACCTGGCGCCTCGCTGGGCGCCCGTGCCTGCAGGCGCGCGGGGTGGGCGTTTCCCAGGCGTTGCCGCGCGGCCTCATCACCGAAAGCACCTGGCGGTGCCGCCGGGCGTCACGGGAGCGTCTGGGCAAGCACCGAGTCGGCCGCGGCTCCCTGCTGCGTCCCTCCCCTTGATGACAGGTTTGTGGGCTCGGGGTGGGGTGGGGGTCAACCGGCAGCTGTGGAAGAAGCCGCCCCGCCCCTCACCCCCCCAACCCCGGTGGAGCCCCACACTCCCGGCCTGCTCAGCCCGAGCTGCTTGAAAAGCACAGGGTGAGCCGCTGTGGCTACAGCTAGGTTCCCCCCCGTCCGCTCAGGTTCAGGAACCCCCAAACGCGTAAGCCCCAGGATTCATTATCTGCAGTGCCAATGACAAAAGCCTAATTAACGGTGACATTTCCAAGGCCTCTGTTTGTGGATGCGACAGTCGGTCTCCACCGAACGCGCCCGGGGCCTTCTGGCGGCCCGGGACAGGGCTCTGCACTGTCACCTCCACAGCCCACGTCTGCCCCCGCCGGGGCGCACCTGCGGCTGGGGGGGTCCGGCCCTTCCTCCTCCACATGACCAGACGTCTCACAGCAAAGCGGAGGCGGCAGGAGCGGGAGCAGCAGCAGAAGGGGAGCAAAGTCCGGGGCGGCGAGTTGGGGGTGGGGTGCGGCCCAGACAGCGGGCTCAGCCCCTCTGCGTCTGCTGCAGGCCCATGTCCTGCTGTCTCTGGGGTGCACGGCGGGGCGTTCGTGCCGGGGCGCACAGGTGTCTCACCCTGCTGGAGCCATGCGGGCCGCCCTCTTGCTCGGGCTTCGGGGTCACAGCCCAGGCGCCACCACGGCACCAGCGTCACGGGGCCCCGTCCTGTTCCCCAGCGGGTCAGAGCCCGCGCTCTTCTCCCCCAGGACACCCCGGCTGGGACGCAGCCTTCTAGAACGTGTCATCCAGGGGCTGCGACCGCAGCGGTCTCTAAGTCACTCACGACCTGCAAGTCCTTCGGACCTGCTGGGGACAGACCCACCGCACCCCCACATCCGCAGGCGGGTGTCCCGTTCCCACAAGACCGTGGACACCCCTCGTTAACAAAATGAGTTTTTATTTTCTGTCCTGTTATTTATACAGCTGTAAACTCAGGGGGTCGCCCCAGGCTCGCCCACCTCCGGCAACGACTAGTAAGCACCTTCAGTGGGTTCCACAGCTCAGTGGCCACTTCAACAGCTTCAGAGTGAATCTGGTAATACGCATACAAGTTACAGGAGGGGACGAAGTCACGGTGCCCATCGGTGTGGGGGCTCGGCAGGGAACGAAAGCAGCTGGGACCGCTGTGGGGCTGGACTGGGATGGACCCACATGCCCCCGCCCCATCCTGTGGCCCTCGGGGGCGCATTTGCCGCTCAACATCACTTCGGTCATTAGAGGACGTCGCTGCCCAAGCAGGGTCCAGGCGGGGGTGGGGCTGGAGCTGGGGTTCAGGGCTGTTCCCGACTTTGAGGGGGGACTCTCCTCCCGAGGAAGGAAAACGAGGCCCGTTCTTCCCTGCCTCAGGCGCGCTCTCCAGCGAGTTTTCCCTCCTGCCCCGGGTCAGGCGGCTCCTGGGTTCCTGGTTCCTGCTGGCGACGCCCTCTGGGGACTCCGACACGCCCACTCCAGTCCTGCGCCCAGGCCCTGGCGCCCAGCCGGCAGCCAGCACTTCCGCGGCCCGAGGACTCTGCGTGGCAGTTGACTGAACAAAATGGCAGCCACTCTGGGGCCCGGAGCTGCTCTCCGCACGCCGTGGAGACGCAGGGCACGGCCCCTGCACCACCCAGCCAATGGTAAAGGGCCCGGGCCACGTACACACCTTGGCGTGGCCTGCCGCGTGGGTGAGCAACCACCCAGGGTCCCGGGCGGGGAGACCCCGGCAGGCCGGCCCCTCTGGCTGCAGAAGAGCGCCCACGAGCAGACACACCAGGGGGCAGGCGGCGGCCACGGAGGGCACAGCCTCAGCCGGCCGTGGGGCTGGGTGCGGTCTCGGGGCTGGGCGCGGGCGGTGCTGTGCTGCTGAGCCCAGAGCTGAGCTCCAGGCACGCTGGGCCAACGGGAGCGACTGTAATCTGGCGTCGGCTGAGGCATGCCGCAGGGCCGCCCCCAAACACTGCTCCCACAGACGGCGGTGCTGACGCAAGCCCTCGATGAGCGAGGCCACTGTGGAAGCGCCAGTGACCTCCCTGCTCATTGTCGCTCTGCGAACCCCCGTTTTCCCGGGGGGGGGCTGCAATCTGTCACAGCGAGGCACAGGAGGGGACGTGAGCACACCACGGGAGAAGGGTGGGGCGCAGGCCCTGCTGGTGGCCCCGCCACATTCGAGGCGCCGTGGCGTGGGGCACCTCCGAGTGAGGCTGAGCTCCGGGAAGGGGTGCTCAGGCCTGGGGGGCTCAGCAGCCCGCCCTGGGCCCGAGCTGGGGGAGTTTGCTGCAGCGCACGCTGGCAAGGGGACCTCCTGGCGTGGCAGAGCTGGCCTGGGCTGGGGGCGGGGGGCTCTCCGGGCCGGAAGCCCCCGGTGTGTGCGCGTTTGGGGTGCCGGGAGGGGTGCTGTCAGGCCCATCAGCCACCAGTGGCTTTCAGTCTGGACGCTCTATGCGGGCTGTCGCCAGGAGCCGCTTGGGGAGGGAAGGGGCCCCTGTCACTTCCGCTCCACGCAGTCCACCCCCACGGTGTTGTCCGGGCAGCGGCAGGTCCTGCTCCCGGGCGTGGCCAGGCAGAGGTGGGTGCAGCCGCCGTTGTTCACCGAGCAGTAGTTGTGGCCTGGAGGAGGCGGAAGCCGGCACAGGTCACTCTCGAGCTGCCTCGCCCACTCGCTCCACGGTTAGCTGGGGGGCGGCGTGGGGCCGGGCGCCGTGGGCAGCTCTGGGACCGCGGGCAGCGGCTCACAAGGCGGCACAGTGCGGCAGGGACCCCGCAGCGTGGGGCACCGAGCTGCTGTAGCGCCCGGTTGTGTGGGCGTCAGGCCACGCTTGCGGCTGTGCTGACCAGGCCACGTGGCAGCTGCAGAGACTGGGCTCTCGGGGCGCAGGGGTCAGGCTCCTCACTGTCAGACTGTCTCCAGCCGCTGCGGCTGAGCCCGACCCCCGGCAGGGAGGGGCCCCAGGGCAGCGGGCCCCGCCCGTCTCCCCGCGGCCCCCTCAGCAGTGGGTCTCAGGGGTCCACCTGTCCTGCTCCCCGCTCTGTCTCTGTGGCATCCTCTTGGCCCCACACCTCTGTCCTGCACCCCAGCTCTCGTATGCATAAATAAATAAAAATAAATCTTAAAAAAAAAAAGCGGCAGCGATCCTAATGCTGGTGTTCCCATTGGGAACCCGAAAATTCCTTTCCACCACCGGGATTCCACACTTTCTTCACTTTGTCCACTTCCGCTTCACCCCTTACTGTGGCCCCGTCTGGCCCACCCACCACAAACGGCCTAGAGGGAAGGGACCACGAGGGCCGGCGTGGCCGCCGGACACAGAGACTCACCCTGGGGGCACTGAGACGGGGCAGTGGTGACACCATACAGCCGGGTCTGCTTGTGGGGGTGGAAGGCGTCCGTCTCCTTGGAAATAGCGAGGTCCACAGCCACCACGGAATTCCTACAGAACATTCGAGGGCCACAGATAGGAACACCCTGAGCGGCGAACCTGTGTCCAGGGCAGTCTCTGTGGCGGCGTTGCGGGTCAACAGCCTCCCTGGCCTTGCTCCCAGGCCTCCAGGCCCAGCCTGCGCCGCTCCGGTTTCCAGAAAAGACCGGAGGCCAAGCCGGCTCTGAATTCCAGGCTGCAAACCTGCTTTTAGCGCAGCTGCCACGCAGCACCTAAGTGCTGCTGGGCCCCTCCTTGCCGGACGGGGCAGGGGGCACAGTGGGGCTTCCAAGCTGCAGAACCAAGCAGGCGGGGGCCTAGAGGCCCAGAGCCCAGGGCCCCACACTTGGGGCTGCCGGCCAGGACGCCCGGTGGACGGGCACGCTGGCTCCACCCGGGGCCCACCCGCCCTCCTCCTAGCGCTGGCCCAGGGGGCCAGGAGGCCCAGGGCAGCGCCCCTGAGGCAGCGAGGGCCGCGCGGGGCCCCGTGCCCACAGCCGACTTACGTCTTCCAGTCCGTGTAATACAGATTCTTCCCGTGGCTCGTCACGGCAAACGGGTACTGGAGCCCCTCGAGGACCCTGCGCCGGCCGGCCTGACCCGGCTTCAGGCACTCCGCCCGGCCAGTGCCTGTGGGCACAGTGACACATTGCTCAGCCACACACTGCCCCCTTGTGCCCGACACCGGGGGCGGGGACGGACGGGGGACTCAGCGTCACAGCAACAAGCCCCGCGGGCACGGGGCTCGCACTCAAGGACGGACCTGGCCTCTGCAGGGTCCTGCGGCCGCCTGGGCAACTGGACCCGTTCGCTGCTGCCGGTCAGGCCGAGCGGCCCTCGGCGCCGGCGGGGCACAGCCATGTCTGGCGCCAGCCGTCCTGGGGGTGACATCGCACACGGCCCGCCAGCCCCGCCCCTGCCCTGCCCTCGGACCATTGCCACCTGACCTGCGCCACCGGCGTCTGCTGCCCTGTGGCTCAGCGCGGCAGGCCGGCTGCAGTGTTGGCCTCCCCAGCCCGCCCCACGGCCCTGCGTCCCAGGTCCCTCACTCCCTCACGCCCTGCCCCTCCGTCACTGCCTGCACCATGCAGGCGCCCTCAAGCCCCACGGACATGAGCTGGCGTCGAGCACGTGGGCCGCACGTGGGCCCCACCGGGCCCCACTCGCCCTCCTGGAGCCTCCTGAGCTAGGAACTGCAACAGGGGCCAGCTCTGGCTCAGGCCACCCCACCCCGGAGCCGCCCCCCAAGGGCAGAGCCCTCAGAAGTGTGCACAGACCCCCAGCACCTGCCCTGTGACTAACCTGGCTCCTGGCTCCGCATCCCCGCAGGCTGCATCCCTGCAGCCCCAGACCTTCCTCCCTGGTGGAGCACCTGCCTATGTCTCTGTGGACACCCCACTGTGCCGAGGCGGGCCACGCCAGGCTGCACTGTGTTATCTTCCCGCTGCAAGGCCTGCCGAGCCCTTGGGGCCAGGCAGGAGCTGCGGGAGTGTAAGCCGGTGTTGCTCAGCACGCAGCCAGGCAGGCGGCAGGCTCCGGGCTCCAGGACTGGCCTGGTCATACAGGGCCGAGTGGTCACCCCCGCGGGCCAGGCCAAGAGGCAAGATCGGGCTCTGATGCAGTCACTGACGCAATCCTTTAAGCGCTATCATTCCAGAAAGCCAAACCACAGCCAGTCCTGAGCCACCCCTCAGCAGGAGTCAGGCTAGATTTGGTCCGTGGCGTGTCACTGGCTGAGCGCCCAATTGGAAGACCAAGTCAGCCCGGATGGCATCAGAGGAAAGCGGCGATGCAGTGCAGAGCGCAGACGTGTGGCTACACTGACCACAGAAGAGGCCTCATCTCCTCACGCTGTCTCCCCAAAACATCCCCCACCCTGTGTTCCTGGCATACGTCGGGCTAGCTCATGGTGGGGGACAAAAGCTGTCGGGGGACAATCGACGCACGCTGCAGCCCCAGCAGCGCCAGCACACACGTCACCTGCGTCCACCCAGCAGAGCTGAGACAAGTAGGCGTCAAAGGTCAGTCCGTTGGGCAGGCCCAGGTCATCCTGCACAAGAACCCTCCGGTGGGTGCCGTCCATGTAGGCAGTTTCGATTTTGGGGCGCTCTCTATTCCAGTCTGTCCAATAGAGGTTCCTGGAGGAGGAGAACCGGGGGGAAAGGAAGAGCAGCAATGAAGACACCCGAAACAAAGCTCATTTAAAAAGATCAGCACTGGCCCTCCCTGGGGGCGCAGCGGGTAAAAGCACTGCACTAAG